CATCCATCCATCCATCTATCAGGGTCCTGGTGGGGTTGGTGCCTATGTCCAGCAGCCTATTGCTACAGGACAAGCTCGCTCAGTTTAGCCTGCCTGGCTCCACAATCACAGACTTTCTTACAGACAGAAGGCAACATGTAAAACTGAGATAAACAGGTATTCCAGGGGATTTCAGGGTCAACAACACCAGCTTCTACAAAGCTGTCTTAACGGCATGAAAAGCCAGACTATTAGAAGCTATGGAAATGTAAAATTGCTACAGAAAATCAGTGTAGTGGTTAAACAAGGTAGTTTAATATTAGCAACATGAAATGCCAGCAAATGGCACCCGCTCTTTGCTAAACTGGAGCAAGCTAATGCTGGTTTTACAAGTGGAATATCAATTAACTACAAAGCTATTGATCAAAATAGGATGATATTAATGGTTAATAACAGGAAAATTCTATAAAATAAGTAAAGGAGTCTTTTTCAGAAACATTAGTTGTAGTATGTTCATCTGGAGTCTCTGGGTGTGTGTGGTGATTATGGAGAGTCTTCACTGTATAATCACTGAGCTATTGATCAAAATAGGATGATATTAATGGTTAATAACAATAACAAATTCTAAAAAATAAAAAAAGTGTATTTTTTCAAAAACAGCTGTTGTAGTGCGATCATCAAGAGCCCCTTGGTCTGTGTGGTGATTTTGGAGTCTCTGCACTTTATGGCAGTGGAGTTATTGATTTTTATTTGCAACGTTTTTCTGTTGTTTTACCATTTGCAGACGGTCCCTAAGCACTCGCCTGGCCGCTGTCTGTGCATAGAGATCAATGTAGTACACCCAGCTCAGAGAACGGCTCGTTTTTCTCGAAAATAACGCTTTTTGAATGTTGTAGTTCAGAGTCTGTGCTATCAGGACATGAAAGATGCGTCATTTGTGTTTCAACAACGTTTCGTGTTAGAGTTATTGATCCCGGAAGTCCGAATCTGTGAATATCTTTCTAACTTTACTGAAGTCAGAGACAGCGCCCAGCAAGGCAAAGCAATACGAATCAACAAAATTGACGGGATAAGAGTTCAGTGCAGCTTAATGGAGAACAAAAAGATCAGCAGGGGAGTCATTAGAGGAGTTCCTCTAAAAATTTCTGAAAAAGAGATTCTGGAAAACATAAGCGGTGCAAAAGTAAAAGAAGTAAAACGGTTAAAAACAACAAGAAACGGAGAAAGATCTGACAGTTTATCTATGCTAATTACATTCGAGGAAGAGCAATTACCAAGCAAAGTATTCATTGGTTACATGATGTCCAAATCTACAATCCTCCACCATTGAGATGCTTTAAATGCCAAAAATTCGGACACATTGCTGTAGTTTGTAAAGGGAAACAGAGGTGTGGAAGGTGTGCAGGAGAACACGAATATGGTAAATGTGGAAAAGAAGCTAAAATAAAATGCTGTAATTGTGGTGGAGAACATACTGCTGCTTATCGCGGCTGTGAAGCAAGCAAAAGGTCTGAGGAAATAAAAAAAAATGAAATTTGAGCTCGGAATAACCTATGCTGAAGCTGCTAAAAGGATCCCATCTCAGTTAGAAAAACCCAAACCTACAGTTCAACACACGGCAAATTCCAAACCTCTAGAGAAATCTCCAAAAATTGATGAAGACTCACTAATTGTTAAAAAGACAAGTTTTGTTCTTTTCATGGTGGAAGTGATTAATTGTACTGCACAGACGACAAAAAAACAGAAAAAATCAAAATAATAGTGAAGGCTGCAGAAAAATATCTGGACGTAAAAGATTTGAACTGGGAGATGGTTGGAAGCATGATGGGAGGACCGATGGGACCATCAGAAACTGGCAGAGTTACGATGACCTAAAGTAAATTAAAATTATACGGGCAAATGTGATTTAGTATTATGTGGGTTTAAGTTACACAGGGTTTTTTTTTTTTTTTGGGGGGGGGGGGGGGGGTTGGGGGGGGGGAATCGTTTCCTGTTTCCTTGCTTTACTCCATATCAGTTGGTGGCGGTAATGCACATTTCACAAGTTTGCCAACCGCCATAAAATCTCATAAGAAGAAGAAGAAGAAGTTACCTGAGCGTCATTTTGACGCTTTGCCCAGTCACGGCAACAAGTTTCTGTAAGCAAGTCACATAATTATCTTTTCAACCACTAATTTACTCTAAATGCAGCATGACGTAAAAAGGTGAGTAGACATTACAAGCATGCTGAGGAAACAAAACCCACATTGATGACAGGGCGACTTTTTGACGTTAATTTATTTCTTCTGTTGTCTGCAAATTTAGGTTGATCATTCTTGTTTAATATGAGCTTTAGTCCAATTTAGAGTAGAATACCTAGTCTAATAGTAGTCTAACTTTTTACAATTAGGATCTTGATGTTTGCTTAAAAAGAAAAAAGGTGGGTGTGTGTTTGTTTGTTTTTTGATTATATGTTGGGTTTACCTTAAAAAAAGATGTTTGTTTAAAAGAAAAACATTTTACCTGAAAAAGTCAAAAACTTTTAAAACGTGAAATACTACTATAGGTTTATTGTTACAACAGTATCCTATTAATTTTTTGTAAATCTCCAACACAGATTTAATATGTTGTGCAAATCTGCCAAGATCATATTTTATCCTGTGCAATTCCAATCATGTTTTTATGTAAGCTCCTTTTCTGTGATGCATGTTATTTTAAACAATCTAATCAAAAATAGAATATTAAATGATTTTTTAGAAGGCATTTCCAGTTCCCAAGGCCACTGAAAGCAACAGCTGGGAATTGTTTCTTCAACCGTTGTGTTATTTATTTATTACCAATTTTATGGTACATTTATTTGTTTAAAAATTGATTTGTTCATTTTACATTTCATTATATTATTCAATTATAGATTTACACTTATTTATTTCATGCTATTTATTTATTCATTTAATTTTTTCACTTCATCCTTCCATGCAAAGCAACTGATTAAAAAGTTTTGCTGCATCTTCTTCTTTCTTGATTTTCTCTTTGCTCAGTGAGCCCACTCAAAATTATTTGATCTTACATCCATGTTAGGAGGCAATGTTCATATCACCCGTCAATTTTCAAACTTTTGTTGCCAGACATCCCAAGTTTTCAAAAACTCATTTCAGATAGTAATTTCTTAAACACAAAACCAAACAGTATTGGTCTTTTATTTTCAATTTTCAATACTTTCAATCTTGTAGCCTTGAGCATCGGTTGTGCTTTCTGTTTTTCATGGGGCTTCAGCATACAGAGCACCTCGCCACAGTGTCATCATTCCTCACCATGGCTGGTTCTAGACAGGGGCCAACGGGGGCCAGGGCCCCTGTAGATCATGTCCTGGCCCCTGTTATGGCCCCTGTACTAAAGACATAATACTTCAAATTAATTCTAATGATGATATGCGCTGGAACATACATGGTAACTGATAGGTCCTTTGGATCTATTTCATTCTTTTTCTTTACAAATATTGTTTTACTAATTATTCAAAAAACAAGGCGATAGCTTCAGTGGTATTAAGATCGGATCCCAGTTTTCATCTGCTAATTTTATGGTAACATTCCAAGCACATTTCTTCCATAATACAGCACTGAAGGGCAGTTGCTTCACCCTGAGACTGCCCTGCATCATTATATCTGTGTTTTCTACAGTCATATAATGTTTCTATTATACAAGTGGGTTTTTAATAGTAAAGGATTAAATGTAACACAACCTTTTATCATCATCCTATATTGCTTACTGTCTGTTTAAATAGCTCCTTATGTCTATTTTCTTTTTTAGTGGCATCAGCTACAAAACACAACACTAAGAATGAGCCTAAGTTTATTTAAATATAAAATCACTTTTAACAATTCTAAAAGACAACGTAACACTATCTTATCTGTAATGTAATAGTATCCAAAATAAACAGCCAGATTCAAGCGTTATTTATTAGATTTTTTAAAGTTTGAACTAATTTACTTATGGACCGTGTGGAAATCCTGAAAAATAGAATCAATGTAAATAGTGTTACTCTGTCTTTATCCTATTTCTAGAGGTAGAATCAATTAAATAGCACTATTTTTATGTAGAAAACAAAAAAAATAGCAGATCGTAAGCATCCTTCTCATGTTGTTATGTTCTACAAAAAAACAATATCTGTTATTTATACCTTAACTGCCTTCAAAAATGAAAACCATAATAGCAAAGAAATATTGGTAAAAGAGAATCAGAAATGTTGATAGCTTACAGTCTTTGCCTGTTCATTTTAACAGCAGTTTTCAAAACTCCTGTCTGACTCAGAATATTTAGTTTTATAAAAAAAAAAATCCTAACGCTGGTTACTTACATTTCTCAAGTTCCACAAATCCAAACTCTCCTGCTTCTTTACAGACCTGCAATCAGAACCTTTCGCCTGTTGTAGCGTAGATAATATATTGGTTTTTTAATTGGGACTAGTTTAATAGCCTAATATTAACTTTTGGTAACCACCGTATTCTAGCTTCATTTTTTTTTTTCTCCAATGCACGCACGCACACATACAGACTAGAAAACAAGAAAACATGAAAGAGAGAAGCAGAACTTAAGGCAGAAAAGTCAGAGAGTGGAGTTAAACAGCGCAGCACAGTTGATGCACGTCTACATGAAAGGGACAGGAAAGACCAGGCAGCTGCAGCTACTGTACCAGGCAGAGGAGCTGTGACTAGAAAAGAAGCCTCTGCTACAACAACGCTGGATTGTAAATTATAAACATGTTCACATCCAATTATTGGTAGGGACAAGTAAGTCAGTCCAAAATTTTAGTAGGGACATGTCCCTATGGCCCCTATGCAGAACTACGCCCATGCCTTAAAATACGCCTTGCCAGCAAAAGAAATTCACATGGAAGGTGAATTTGCAAGGCAGGCGAGAGGCTTCACGTCATCATTGAGTCTCCTGGTTGTTGGTTTCACCTCAGCGTGGTGAACGTAGTGATTCATGGTGTTTTATTTCACTTTTATCAGTACTCCTGCCTCTCTGTGTTGCAGTTTGAGGCACTGCGTTGGAAGACAAATCAGCTGAACAACAGAAGTAAGGTGAGATGGTGTTCTGAAGCTCAGATAGGACGAGCACTACAAAAACACGAGCAAAGATGGAACCTGAACCGGAATTAAGCCCCCCACCCCTGACCCAAGGAACCACCCAGAAAACTAAAACATCTCTCATCTTTGTTTTGTTTCCATTTTCAGAGTTTTTTATCTGCTTTTCAAATGTGGTCCTTATAAGATAAGAAGGATGTCCTTATCTCGGTCAATTACAGACAGTACAACGATTTTTTTCAAGCTTCTTCTCATCTGTCAGATCTCTTCCCCAGGTAAGATTAAATTTCTTGCTTTTCATTTTTTTCCCGCCACATGTACTCTGTGTTTTTTCTACTGAAACCAGAGGGGCTTCTGGATACAATCAAAAGTCTTTAAGTGTATCAGCTGTTGGCAAATATATGATGAAATAATACATGTAGCACTAGTGTTTGATATAAATATACATTTGTATTTGTATATAAATATAAAACTACTATATTTTTGATAGTAGTTTTCTTCCTACCCTGAAGACAAACACTTGACATTAAAGCAAAGCCACCTCTACCTTTCTGGGTGCCGCCCATTTCATGATGTCACTGTATTGCCCCAAAAGAACCAATTTTCAGAAAAAAACACTCGACTTTTGTCTAAAGTTCATGTAATTCTTTGGCCAATAATAAATGGGTTAATTGTTCTCATACCTATTTATTTTTTTTTTTTTAGAAAATTGAACTTTATTTATCTCTCATTGGAGAAATTCACTCTCTGCATTTAACCCATCCCCTTGGGTTGCAGTGGGCACCCGGGGAGCAGAGTGGGGTTAGGGGTTAGGGTCTTGCTCAGGGACCCAGAGTGCAGGCTGTGGGGATTGAACCGGGTACTTGCAACATTCTCAGAGCACAAGGGCACTGCTCCAACCACTAGGCCAACACTCCCCAATCTTTAACCTATTCAACCAGCCATGACTATTGTTTTCTAATTGAGTAATATCAACTGATCAAAGTAATAAAAGCATAAATCATATCTCATCATATGAAACATTTTCCTGTAAATGCTGCTGCCAGGATTGATTTTTATTTCTCATCCAGTCTTGCTCTTTGTCAACATTTGCAATTGTTCAACTCTCAACAGTATTTCATCAGCCATCACTATAATATATATTTTATAAATTACATAAAAAGTTCCACTTTTATGAATGCTTAATCTTTCTTCTGTCTAATCCTGCATCTTGCTAAACCAGATTACATTTCCTGAATCTCTCTTATGAGGAAAAAGAAAAGTAAATTTTGGTCATTGGAAGAGGGAGATAATTAGCAGATTTGTCTCTTTTTTTTGTTGTTTAGATTATATGATGAGCTTATTATAAGGATGAGACAAAAATCCCCCTTACCACCAATTAGGCATTGTGATTGACAACAGAATCTAAAAAACATTTTAGTAAACTTGAAATAATCGTTTTTTCCACAGAACCACATTCGTTGGTGTATATCCTGTGTGGTACCTCAGGAATCCCAAAACTTCCAGAGTTTTTGGTTTCTGGAACAGTTGATGGAGTTGAAATTGCTTACTGTGACAGCAATATATTAGACTTAAAGCCCCGAACACCTTGGATGAACCAACTATTAGAGGAGGAGCCTCATCATCTGAAGTGGTTAAATAACAAATGTTTCCACAATTGGATAGACTTTAAAGCCACCATTGCAACTCTAACACAACGCTTTAACCAGTCAGAGGGTAAGTGACATATTTTGTGAAATACACACACAAGCAAATTGATGCTAGGTCTGTCAATTGTCACTAACCACAGTCTAAGTTTGGTTACATTCTCATTTGTGTAGTTACAGTAAAGCAACGTTAATTGATTTTTTTTGCCGTTTAATCAGTTGGTTTATTGGGGGAATTTCTGTTTTATATAGTGTTTATTTTTTTATGTTGTGTTTCTGTTTTCCTTGATGTCATCACTGTGTTGGTTTCTTGTTCCCAGGTGTCCAAATTTTTCAAAGAACAAATGGATGCTTTTGGGATGATGAAACCGAGGATTTTGATGCTTTTAATCAGTATGCTTATGATGGAGAAGATCTCATAAGTTTTGATATGAAAACTCTGACATGGATCACACCTAGACATCAGACTGTCATCACCAAGCACAACTGGAACGTTGACGGCCATAGTCTGTTTTGGAGGCATGCACTAACAGAAGATTGCAAAAGTTTTCTTCAGCTGTATTTAAGATACAGCAGAAGTTCTTTGCAAAAAGCAGGTATAACAATAGATAATGTTTTTGTTTAACCCAGAAACCAACTTCTTTGTCTCTTTAATATGTCATAGTATGTCAGGGCAAGACCCATGTTTAAACCCCACTTCCTGTCAGGAAACTTTAAATTTAAAGACCACTAATGCAAACATTTTTTTTAGGTCCTAATGTTAGAATTAAGCATATAAAAACTGCAGGGTTCGTACGGGTGCTGGAAATCCTTGAAAATGCTTGAATTTTGACGTTGTGTTATCAAGGTTTGAAAAGTGCTTATATTTTGGATGAAATGTTTGAAAATGCTTGAAATTGTAACTATTTCTTTCGCAACAAATACCAATCTAACTGAAACGTGTGTTTATTAAATGGAGAAATAAGATGGAGAGCCCGAAAATGAAACCTGCTCGCTTATGTGTGACTGCGATCTGCCAGTCTATTTCCATGTGGGACTCCGCCCCCATGAAACCACTAATGCACCATGCCGGGAGGTTGTCGTTTCAATGAACGTTGTCTGGAAGATGAAAAATACAAATTATGGATTAAACGGGGACAAACCCGACGAGTTGCCTCTTGTAAAGTCTGCGAGAAAAATGTGCAGCTTTTCACAATGGGCGAGTCTGCGCTCTCGAGTCACATGAAGGGTGAGTCATAGTGACTGAGAGTACGGTGTGATAATGTAATGTTAGTATTGCAGTGTTTCCCGCAGCACTATCTTGGCCAAACTCACACTACCGCCTCGCCAACGTTCCAAAAAAAAACAACCAAGTTTTAATTCATTGCCAGGCCCAGACCTTAAAACAACATTGATAACTCTACGGCTGATAATACTGAATTGCAACACTCTGGTTGGTTATATTACTACGCCATGGCAGAGGAGTAATTTTCTTTGATCATCCGAGGAGACGTGTGTGTGTGGGGGTGGGGGGGCGTGTCCATCGTCTTCATCATCGGTGAACTATATGTGGACTTGAAAGTGCTTGAAAAGTGCTGGATTTTGACTTTGGAAAAGGTGTGCGAACCCTGAAACTGGTTAACTGCATGTTAAAAAACCAGAGTAGACGTTAATGCATTTATTGTACATCCCACCCTGAGAGTTTTGAGCTTTACTCATTATGACTAAATCTAACCATTCATTAACTGTCTAATAATCTTTTTGTCTAAGTCTATTCTGGACTTGCCAACTCCCTATAAAGAAAAATGCAATTAATCATCAGTAGTGTGACTGATGTTTAGGAAAAGTTCAACTCTGTTTACTTTTTTTGTCTTTTCAGAGGTTTATTTGATACGTTTATTAAGTATTAAAAAAAACAGACTTAACATTTCCTAAAAATTTTTGTTTATTCGTTTTGTTTTCTTAATTTCTGTCCGTTCATTAAAAACTGTCCCCACTGCAGCTGTTATAATCATAAACTTTTTAACTTATGAAATTTAATATTTCATAGCGACTATGTCTAAATTTTTTTAATCAAATAACTCAAACATCTTTAAATTGTTAGACGTGTACTATTCTGTGTAGAATTTAAGGAATCTCTCCGACTTCAGATGTTTTTTTAACCAAACATTTCCTTTGAATTGTGTCTGTAGCTTATCCCTCAGTGTCTCTCCTGCAGAAGAATCCAACCTCGGTGGTTACATGCCATGCCACTGGTTTCTATCCTGAAAGAGCCTCAGTGTTCTGGAGAAAAGATGGACAGGAGCTCCATGAAGGTGTGGAGAGAGGAGAGATCCTCCCCAACACAGATGGGACCTTCCAGATGACAGTGGATCTCAATATTGCATCAATCAAGGATGAAGACTGGAAAAGATATGACTGCCTCTTTCAGTTCTCCAGTAATGAAGATAACGTCACAACCAGACTGGATGGAGCCATTATCAAGACAAATCAAGGTATTTAAAAATAAAAGAAATGCTTTATGATTATACTGCTTGTCAGCTGTAAGCAACTGGTAGTTAACCGGTGGTTGTTTTTGTCGACTTCCATCAATCCTAATACGAATTTAAAGAGTGTTTCTAATGGCTGATGATTTACTAATAAAAATAACTTACATTTTTCGGAGACATATTTTGTTGTGATTCCAGGTTCGTCATTTGGAAAATACTTGTTTATCACAGCTGGTGTTTTTCTGTTGCTTTTAATCATACTCATCAGTGCAACTCTGTTGGTATGGAGGAGAAGGAACAGACATGGTGAGTAAATTTATTTTTAGCTAAGGCAAGTTTATCTTTATATTCATTGATTTATTGAACAGAAATATTGTAAAGTTGATTCTTAAAGATATGGGGAGCCGTTGGAAAGACTGTGGACCTGGATGAATGTTCTCAACTGTCTTAGTTTTAGTGAAGACATGGGCAGCAGTATTCTGGATTCACTTTAGCTGATTTTTTATTTTTTTGGTGGGGGGGTGGGGATTATTTGTTTTTCAAGTTCTTGCTGAAACTTTGCTGCTCTCTTTATGATGTCCATGTCCCTAACAGCAGTTTGATAATTGTTTTTTCAGGATGTGTTAATACTTTGAGTTAAATTAGACATGCCATGCCAATGTAGCCTCACTCTAATGTGGTTTAAAATTGGCATTAGGTGTACCACAATATGACATTGTCATTTATTGACTTGTCATTTATTGACATGCAGGGTATATGAGAGTTTGTGACAGGAACCTCCAAAAATTATCTATGAACTGAAGGCTTATAAACTAACTGCAACCCATCCTTCACCCTAACCCCTACACCTTTACAAACACTAGTTTATATGTTACCATACACTCCTAAAGTGCAATTACTGCAAACTGAAGTGCATGCTGCATGGGGGGTAAACCTATCCTTTCACTATCTGATATGAAGGGGCTTATGATCAAGCCTATGCATTTTTACAAGTTGAGTAAGAGAATGTGTTACACAGGAAGAGCTTTTCTAAAGAAAGCTGTGGGTAAAAAAATCAAAACAATAGGAGGAAGAGCTTATTTGGGCTATAATGCATCATAGGTTGTTGTAGTTTATTTGGTGAAATTGGGAAACAATAAAAATCACCTTCAGTTGTAGACAACTTTGGTACTGGACATTTTTCAGAAAGCCCCTCTAATCTTTAGGGTGTTTTTATAGCATGATAAACCAAGCTAAATGTGGATTTAAATGTGTAATTTAATAATGAGCGCAACTGACTGTAAGCGTGACAGAAAGCTTGTGAGGGAGTGTGTAAGCTGGTGAGTGCTGTGGGTAAAGCGGCGAAAAAAAAGGAATGAGCAAAGGGCCTCTTCCTGCTCACGTTTCAACGAAAGCCCCAAGTCTAATCTTTCCTAAACTGATTCCGAAGCTGAGTCAAAGGAGAACTATTCATTCATTGTTGCTATCCTTCTTGTTGTGCTTTCTTCAGCATTGCGCAGCTTTATCGTCCCGCCCTCAAAACCCCGCCCTCTTTGCATCCAGAAATTCAAAGCACATCTCTGCGTTGTGATTGGCCTGCCAGTTTTAGGGCCTGGGGCATTGTTTGAGGCTAGACCGAACTCGCAGGCAAAAATTATTTTGTCCGCTGGCATGTAGGGCTAGTTTACTAGGCTTGTGTCTTTAGGCTTTCAACGTAGCAAACATTGAAGACCATGGTAGAGTGGAGATCAGATGCTACAGTCATAGAGGGGTTAATTAACCTGTCAACTGTGGTAAATAAGGTATAAGCAATGTTAATAATCCCCAGAGAAGAACAATTTTCTTGCACTTTTTTATTTGTGAGTTTTATCTGTTGAGTCTCCCTCTTATATCTGCCTGTCTCTCTGTCCCCCCTCTGCCCACACACACACACAAGTTTGTATTTCTATCCATACATTGACTTACATTCAGTTTAGTTACTGCATTCACACCAAACCCTGACTTTTACCCTAACAATTATCAGTATATTCCTAACCCTAACCTTAGCCTAAAGTTAATTCACATCATACCCCTAAACTGACTCTCTGTGGTTAAAAATGGGGGTTCACACCATTTGGACTTGCCTTTGGTCCCCAAAACACCCGTTGGTCCTCAGAAGGTTAGTAACACACACTGCCTTCATACCAGTAGTTGTATTGTGAAGGTTTGTGGCAGTGTTGCTGATCCTGGACTTGAGTTACATGTTGTAATAAACAGAGATATGAATTATCCTCTTACTTTTTCCAGCACAATTTCTGTGGCTAATTCTACAATCTCTCTACTTTTTTTCAGGCTTATGATATAAAGGACACCAGGATGACTAGAGTTGTAATTAAACTTCTTAACTACGTCCCCGATTTCCAGGGATAGTCCCCGTTTTGGACTACCTGTCCCCAGCTAAAGCTGTCCCCGATTTTACCGTTTTACTGTATGAATGAGGGGGGTAATGTGTCTAGTCTGTTATTATGGTAGAAAGAGAACGTGAGCATGCTTCAAACATAAACAGATGTTAGCTAGCTAATTGGCAGCTGTTAATGTATATATTAGGAGCAGAGCACACCACTTTGCTTTATATCTTCAAATATTTATTGCAATTAGTTATAGGTTGTTTTGCTGTTTTATGGTTTTGATTTTATGAACATAGACTTCCAGGCTTAGTTCTACTTTTCTACCACTCAGTTAAGATACACTATATTGCCAAAAGTATTTGCTCACCCATCCAAATTATTGGAATCAGGTGTTCCAATCACTTCCATGGCCACAGGTGTATAAATTCAAGCACCTAGGCATGCAGACTGTTTTTACAAACATTTGTGAAAGAATGGGTCGCTCTCAGGAGCTCAGTGAATTCCAGCGTGGAACTGTGATAGGATGCCACCTGTTCAACAAATCCAGTCGTGAAATTTCCTCGCTCCTAAATATTCCACAGTCAACTGTCAGCTGTATTATAAGAAAATGGAAGTGTTTGGGAACGACAGCAACTCAGCCACGAAGTGGTAGGCCACGTAAACTGACGGAGCGGGGTCAGCGGATGCTGACGCGCATAGTGCGAAGAGGTCGCCAACTTTCTGCAGAGTCAATCACTACAGACCTCCAAACTTCATGTGGCCTTCAGATTAGCTCAAGAACAGTGCGCAGAGAGCTTCATGGAATGGGTTTCCATGGTAGAGCAGCTGCATCCAAGCCATACATCACCAAGTGCAATGCAAAGCGTCGGATGCGGTGGTGTAAAGCACGCCGCCACTGGACTCTAGAGCAGTGGAGACGCGTTCTCTGGAGTGACGAATCGCGCTTCTCCATCTGGCAATCTGATGGACGGGTCTGGGTTTGGCGGTTGCCAGGAGAACGGTACTTGTCTGACTGCATTGTGCCAAGTGTAAAGTTTGGTGGAGGGGGGATTATGGTGTGAGGTTGTTTTTCAGGAGCTGGGCTTGGCCCCTTAGTTCCAGTGAAAGGAACTCTGAATGCTTCAGCATACCAAGACATTTTGGACAATTCCATGCTCCCAACTTTGTGGGAACAGTTTGGAGCTGGCCCCTTCCTCTTCCAACATGACTGTGCACCAGTGCACAAAGCAAGGTCCATAAAGACATGGATGACAGAGTCTGGTGTGGATGAACTTGACTGGCCTGCACAGAGTCCTGACCTCAACCCGATAGAACACCTTTGGGATGAATTAGAGCGGAGACTGAGAGCCAGGCCTTCTCGTCCAACATCAGTGTGCGACCTCACAAATGCGCTTCTGGAAGAATGGTCAAAAATTCCCATAAACACACTCCTAAACCTTGTGGACAGCCTTCCCAGAAGAGTTGAAGCTGTTCTAGCTGCAAAGGGTGGACCGACGTCATATTGAACCCTATGGATTAGGAACGGGATGTCACTTAAGCTCATATGTGAGTCAAGGCAGGTGAGCAAATACTTTTGGCAATATAGTGTATATTAAAGTTCCTTTTTATAAAAATGAGAGGCAGTAAAAGGAAAACTGAATGAGACAAGATCTTCATAATCTGAAAATGATAGAGGAAAAGATAACCACCTGTTTATTTTTCATTTATTATGATGTTTTTACTTGTAGCTCCAAATATTGTGATGATTAGCCTTTTTAGTATTTAATCAGGTGAGATAATAATAATAATAATTACCACCATCATCATAACAATCATATGTATGATGAGATTATATGCGTTGTTTTAGATAAGATTGAGATTGACAGAAGAGGAGAGGAAGAAGATTAGAAGACTGATAGAAGATTGAATGAGAGTGGGGGGAAATAGGCACACCGATGGAAAGATCAGTTGAAAAGAAGGGAGAAATATCTACTTGGAAGTGTCATAGTTTTGGTTCTGTTTGATTTTTCTCTCTGAGTTTTCATTGTTTTATTTCCATTTTTTGTTATTCTAGTTATTTTTTATTGTATTTGAATTCTTATGTATTTCTTGTTTGCCCTCTGTTGCCCTCTTGTGTCAGTGCTGTGTATGCTGATTAGCCTGGTCTTCATTTTCTGTCTGCCATTTATACACCTCAAGCTCAGTCTCTTTTTGCTGGTTCATCGTCATCATTTCTTTGCCCCTTATGAGTTTTCTCTGATATCTCCAGGATTTTGGTTTTTCTGCATTTTGTTAGTTTGGACTTTGCTTCTGTTCCCATTTTTGATATTAAATTTGCAAGAAACCACCTTCAGCTTCAGTCTCTGCATTTGGGTCCTCCTCTCAAACCTCCACTCAACCCGACAAGAAGAATGAAACGTAGAGAAGGCAGAAACCACCTAGAAAGAAAAGATGGAGAGGACTAAATTACCAGATGGCACTAATAAACACTGTTGATAGATTGATCTTAGGAATTAGTAGTGGCAAATTCCTGGATTTTACAATTGATTTTTGTTGTTTCAGTATTAATATTTAAGAATAGCATCACTGTCCCCGTTTCCTATTTTAATTTTGACATATTGAATTTTTAAATATTTTTTGATGTTTTTATTTTTATCTACGAGCTGGAAATGTTCCCAGATTGGATTTCAGAAATCTGGTCACCTTTTTCTTTCCGCTTCACATGGGCAACATATTCTTTAACCACTGATTTTAGGATCTTTGTTTAAAAGAATGAATAAATAAATTAACATTTTATATTGTTTTGCTGACCTCACAAAACTGAGAATTTTTTTTATTTCTATTGATGTCTACTACATTGTCTACAACATAATCTGAATTAGTCCCAAGTCTCAATAGATGGAGGGGAACAACATAGAAATGGACATTGTTACGACCCCCTCTTGGTTTAGGGGAGTGGGGGCATAAACATATAGGCAGAAACCAGTAAGTTCTTAAAAAATTATAATTTATTTGATAACAAGAGGTGCAAGCAATAAACAAACAAAAGGAGGGTGGATGAGGGTGCTGTGAAAATAAAGTTAAATAAGAGATCCTCAAAAGGATGATCGTGCCTAACTACACATTTAAACAAAGGGGATTCTTACTAAAAAATAAAGAGAGCACAGCACCCACTACACCTAATGTAACTAACAAAGAAAAACTCAGTGTGGCAATCAGTGAAGACTCTGGCCCTACCTCCACCCTTTTTCTAGCCTCAAGCTAGTAACGATGTACATAAGCTAAACACAACAAAATATACTGACACAGGCTGCTAAACAAACCACAAATGGGTAACCATAAACTTAAGAGAGCTACTCCACTAAAGACACAAGCAGCTGTTAATCAACAATGTTTGGTTAACACGAGGCACACAAGTCAATTGGCTGTGACAAGCTGCCTCAATCAACAGGTGAGCTCTCCTTATGAGCAGGAGGTGATTGCAGGTGGTGACGAGCCATTGGTTGAAGTGGAACTGAGGGAACCAATGGATGGGACTGAAGTCAGAAACCAGGAAGTAGGCGGGTCTTTCCACAGGGACATGCAGCCTACTGTACTTAGTAGAAGTGAGAAAAGGGATAAATAAATAAAAAAGGGGAAACAAATATGATGGCGACGGCCGTGACAGACATGGAGATCTTCAACTTAAGTTTGCTGCTCCATCAGTCAAAAGTTATTCAATAAGTGCTTCATTACACACTTTTTTTTTCTGAAAAAAATAATAATAATTATAGTAATGACCTTTTTCATACAAGCAGTGGATAAGCCTGAACAAGCAGATCCTAATCACAGCTTCCATGACCACAGCTGAGTCTGAGAGGTGCTTCTCAACACTGAAGAGAATCAAGACCTTCCTCAGGAACACAATGTTACAGGATCATCTCAATGCCCTGGCTATGCTCTCTATGGAGAAGAAACTAACCCAAAACCATCCCTGACTTCAACCATAGACTCTTTGAAATTTGCTTCTCTTAACGACAGAAATGCAAAATTTATGTACAAAAAGTAAAAATGCACATCAAACTATGTTTTTGTTATTATAAAGAGTTTTTATAATGTTTTTTGTTGTTGGCATTTGTATAAATATACTGGTGTGATACCATAATATGCATTTGATTAGTTTTTGGTATACGTTTATTTTCAATTAATTTGGAATTACCTGAGTAAATAAAGGGGAAAAAAATTATAGCCCCTGCCACTGATAGCTTAAACAACTTTTAACTGCCTTTCACCAAATCATTTTTACAGTTATTCAAAGGTAATGTAAAAATTGTCTAATGCAGTTATATAGACGGTTATTTTAATTTTATTTAATTTTATTACAAGTTGATTTTAACAGTTGCGTGAGCCTTATTAAGTAAGTATCTAAAATCCTAAAGAAATTTGTCATTGACATTCGTGTTTAATGTTTTTAAATTAGTAGGGATTATTTTATATCACTGAAAAATTACATTTAACCAAAGCAGTTGATAAGATGTTATGTTTTAGAAATGTACTGAAATTTGTCTTGTAAGTTAAAAGGCAATCTGCCAGTCAGACTTTTTCAGATGATTGCCAGTTATAGCTCTAAATGCATTTTATCTGATTAACTAAGACAGACATGGTTTTAGGTCGACTATATTTTGTGATTTAAATATGTAAAAGCTGTGACCACAGCTTATTTTCAAATCTAGCTCAATCTTATTAAGCATGTTTTCTAACATACAAGATGTCACCATGACTTCATTTCTTAGCTCCACCTCCCTATGTAGTGGGATTAAAAACTGTTCTTCTATTGCTTAAATGACTATAATGGTTTACATATTTTTAAAGGAGAATTTTGACCTGATGCAGTTATGGGTCTTTGAGAATAATGTCTTTCATTTTCAGCCACAATCAAGTATTTCAACTTTAAAGTCAACATCACCCAACAGGTAAGTGTGAACTTAAAACAATCAAGCTTATCCAAACGTGTTTTAGTTAAAGAACGTCATTAGTTTTAAAACCCATGGCTGAGATGATTAATTTCCCTCTACTATTATGTTTGAGTTCAAGATGAAAAAGAAAGAAAAAAGGGATGAAAAGTATATCACGATTTACTATAATCTGAGTTTTTTTTTCTTTTTTTTACAACAGGTAAATGTTTACTTGAATAGGTTGTGAATTGTTTTGCTTAGCTACGTTTAACATTTCTCCATTTACCTTTGACAGCAGCTGACAGAAGCACATTGGAGATTTTCAATGTCTCCCATTAAAAACACACATGATGCCTTCCAAAGCTGTATATCACATGTAAAGTTTGCTTAAAGGATGTGTTTTAAATTTGCTCAATATACGTGAACTAATTATCCTTTGATTCACTGAAATGTTATATTTTTGTGCTGTGTGTTTATATTTGTTTTTTTATAAAAAGACACATAAAATTTTAATGATCAACGTCTCCCTTTCTCTGAATGAAAAGGACTTGCGGCACTTTCTTTTGCTAATTAATTGTAACTAAGTAACCTATATAAAGTTAATATTTAACAATGTTCTGTACTTTTTTCTTGTTTTTGAGCAGAGGAATCAAAAGTATTATTGTTTTTCACTCAAGTAGAAGTATAAATCCTACTGTCTAAAAAATGTTTGTGGAAGTTCAAATTTATAGTATCAAATTAAGATTTTTATGCAAGTAAAAGAGTAAAGTACAATTTTTACAACTGCTTAAAGTATAAAAGTAAAAGTTATGCAGGACATTTTTAAGTACTTTAAACCCTATACTTGTTACTGCACTACCCTATTAACGGAACTGTTTGTTTTACAATTCTGGATAAAAACCTCCTTATACTTAATTTTCTTAGTTTTATTACTAAAGGTAACAGTCAGATTTAACTTTGCATTATTTTGATAAACAAGCACAAAGAAATCTTTGATAAATATGGACACCTGAGAAGAATAGATTAAGGACATATATTTATATACACACACACACACATACATATATATATATATATATATATATATATATATATATATATATATATATATATATATATATATATATATGTGTGTATATATATATATATACACAAAAAAGCACAAAAAAGAATCCAGGCACAAATAAATTAATTTTCTTGATGAAACAATTTATTTAAATGATTTTTAATTGTTTATATACTAACAAGCAATAATGAAAATGAGCTTAAATAAAACAAAAATAACAAGTTTATTTGTGAAATATAAGTAATAGAAATAATTGCCAAAAAATGCAAAAAGTAGAAGTAAAAGGTTGTCCAAAAAAAAAAAATACTTCAGTAAAATATGGCCAAATAGATAGCCAGATAGCCAAAGCTTCTGCTTGGGTAAGGAAACAAAGTATCAAATGCAAACACCGTAAAACTTAAATACCTGCAAACTGATTTAATCTGGTGTGAAACGTTTAGTGTGTGTTGACTGAAATTTTGTATGGAGTTGGTGGCCCCATATGGTTTCTGTACAAGCAGAGCAGGGGTCTGGTTCTCATTGATGGCATTAGGCTGGATATGTTTGCAGTGCATATTGGACTCGGACTTGGCTTCCCTGAGTCACAAGTCTTTCATGTTCTCTATGGACAGGATTTCTAGGTGCAGCCAATGGCGGGCGGGGATCTGGTTTGGAGAACGTCGGATTTCTTCTTTGTATTTGTAGAAGATGTGGTGATGCGCTGCTGGCTCCTTCTTGCCAAGGGCTACAGCATGCACTAGGGTACTCCACATCCAAGTGTAAAGCATGTGTTTTAGTTGTTGCTAATGCTGCATCAGCCTGTTGTAGCAAACAGATCACTGATCCAAAAGGCATTGCTCCCGATATAATGGTAGTTCTACGTTCCTACCCTCACCTATGGTGATGTTCAAAAGAATGAGATGCTGGGTTCAAGCAGCTAAAATGAACTTCCCTTGCAAATTAAGGAAAGGAGCAGAATAGCTTCTTCGTCATATTGAGAGGAGTCAGTTGAGCTGGCTCGGATATCTGTTTTAAATATCCAATGAGCATCCCCTCAGCCTCCTCAATGTGGCAAGTCCCAGATTGAGGAGGCTAAGGGGATGGCCCAGGACACACTGGAGGGACTACAACTCTCAGCTGTCCCAGGACCTCCATGGGGTTCCATCAGAAGAGGTGGAGGTTGACCCAGTGATTTTTTTACGCCAAATATCAAGAGGCCTTGGACTGAAAAGTAAATAGTATGGGGAATTGACCCCCCCCCCCCCCCAAATATTAAACATTTGTTTTAGAAATACAAAAGTTGTTACATCACCTTTAAAGTTCTTATGTTTTTTATTATTATTATTATGAGTAAGTAGCTGAATTCAAGGATTTTGATAGTTGGTATGAAACCACAAATATCAAATACTGGTATGAAATGCCCTCAAAGATGTCAATGATTTGGGTATGTCAGTACAAAACTTCAAAAATCTAAATTTCTAAAACTGCAAAGGTGCAAATTAATCCTGCTAAGGACATGAAGTTTATGTTACCTCTGTCTTTGTTTTCAGTAACTGAACATTTTCTGCTTTCCATATCCATAACGAAAGAATGATGTCCCCATCTAGGCTACCTAAAAACAGGATGAAGATTTTTTTTAAGTTTCTTTTCATATGTCAGATTGCTTCTCCAGGTAAGTTGAAATGTGTCAGCTTCTGCTGTTTTCTTATTAAACACTAAAGGAAATTATGGATACTAAAAAAAGGTGGTTTTTGCCCTTTGGGACATATATGATGGTATAGTGATTAATACTTGGATTATTAAGGGAATGTTGTTCAGTTAAAGCTCTATGGAGATCATAATTTGTTAAGTTAGTAAGTTCTCGGTAAGAATGAATTGAATTAAGTTAATTCAGATGTAATCAAAGAAATCATTCGGGCGGAACCAAAAGCTGCCTTATTTTTTTTTACATTTGATCTGGATTGTATTCAAATTTGACTTTCTGCAGGTGGACAGAAATGGAGGATAACTACTATATTCTTTCAATACCTCCATTTTGCATATATGTTGTTAAAAAAGCAGAAGTTTATAGTCAATTGTTTATTGGCAGTAGTGTGGCTGAGCAGTAGAAATGGAATTGATAAGATTTTGATATGATCTTTACTATTATAGTTGATTGTTAAATTCAGAGGGATATACAGTTTCTGCATTTGGGTTAAACCGAGAAAGGTTTGTATTCCCACTTGTCGGGAACAGAAACAGAATCCAGTTGGTGGGTCTCGGTGTCGTGTTTTGGTCTGGACGAGAGGCCACAATTTTAAAGCGGCAGGTATGAACAGATCCTAAGACTATAATGGAGTTGGGACAATAAGCGGTATTTGTTTTTAGTCAGGGGCGGACTTTTTGGTGCCCAGGAAAAAAAAAAACAGAGCTGATTACATTGTTATAAGACTGTACTGTCAAATAGAAACTGGAGAAAACTTACCAGAAAGCAACCACTTGGGGCATCCAGCTCCAAATAACGAAATAACATCACAGGAATAACAAAAAGTTGTAACTCAATACAACATCAACTTCGGATCCCCGTTTCCATATGCCAAAATGGACTGATCCTTCTCATCGCGTAAAATATCCAGAGATGCAGTATGCCACTCAAGTTAGCAGCAGGAGAGTTTAGAAAGAATAAATATGTAGTAAAGCTCTAAAAGCAGAGCTGAAATAAGGAAATAGGGAGAAAAGATGATACTGATTATTGTATATTAAATATCATGTGATTTGTATGATGTGATGTGGGGATTTATTGTACTTAGCATCATCACCTCTCCGTCTCTCTCTCTCTCTGTATATATATATATATATAAATTTTATTTATTTATTTATTTTTTTTTATTTATTTATTTTTTTTTAGTTGAGCCCAGTGGGTGCAGCATGGTCATTTGGAAACATAATCTAAAAGAAATCTGTATAACTGATATCATCTCTTCCCACAGAACCACACTCCCTGGTGTATGTTCTTTGTGGTATCTCAGGAAGCTCCAAATTCCCTGAATTTTTGGCCTATGGAATAGTTGATGGAGTTCAAATTGGTTATTGCGACAGCAACACAGACATAAAACCAGGAACACCTTGGATGAACAAACTATTCGAGGGTGAACCCCAGCATCTAAAGTGGTTGAAAAATAAATGCCACAACAACTGGTTTAACTTCCAAGCAGCCATTACAACTCTGAAACAACGCTTTAACCAGTCGGAGGGTGAGTACCATGTTTCTGAAGAGTCTAAAATAGGAAGCATACGTATATCTGTCATGAGTGATCTGAGGTGTCTTTGGACTTTTTTCAGTCTGGGACCCTGTAAGGCGAGTCTGAGGCCGCCCACACCTGATATTTAGCATAGTTTCTTTCTGAATAATCTTTATAAATCCTTAATACATGGGCATGCCCATGCATACATATCATAGAAGTTTGGTTCCAGGTGTTTACGGATACACACTAATATAAAATACTAAGCTGCCGCTACATATAAAGATACAGATACATACCACCCTAAATAATATTTTTTCATAACCATAGATTTGCTTTCCACAGACATGGATATCTAAGGGAAACCTGGTGTTCTGGAAGCTTTTTTGATTTTTAATTTGGTTTTATGGCATCTTATTTTTGCTGTTGTTATTTTCTCTGTTTTCTTTCCCCCTCATCTCATACAGGTGTGGAAGCAGAATTCTAGGAATTTGTGTATATCTTCTGTGTCTGCTTTTGCTCCTTTGTTTTCTTTTTTTCATGCGTTCGTCCTTCTTTCCTTTCTATCTCTTTCTCTCTCTGCTTAGTTCTTATCCTCTCTTTGTTTCTGACCTCCCTTTCCATCTCTGTTATTTGTTCTCTACATCATCTTTAATAAAGTTTCATTTATACATAAATACCAAGCGGAACCTTATGGCAACATTCATAATGGTCTTCTTGTGAAAGCAAAGCAGTTGGGCTATCATTTATATGCAGGACATTAATTCCCAGACAAAAAAAAAAAAAAAATATGTCTTGAGTCCTTAAACAGATGTTTAGCTTTATATGTATATCTTTGAAAAATTGATGACATGTTTGCCTGTTTACTTTCGTTGTCATGGAATCTCTGTTTTATATATATCCATCCATCCATTATCTGACACACTTCATCCATCACAGGGCAACACAGAGACAAACAGGACATACAACCATTCACGCACATACTCATACCTAAGGAGAATCTAGAGAAGCCAATTAACCTAACAGTCATGTTTTTTTTTTTGGACTGTGGGAGGAAGCCGGAGTACCCGGAGAGAACCCACGCATGCTCATGGAGAACATGCAAACTCCCCGGGCCAGAAATCAAACCAGAACCTTCTTGCTTCAAGGCAGTAGTGCTAACCACTGCGCCACTGAACAGCCCATATATATATATATATATATATATATATATATATATATATATATATATATATATATATATATATATATATATATATATATATATATATATATATATATATATATATATATATATATATATATATATATATATATATATATAAGATACAATACTCGTTTTAAAAATTAACAATACAGTGCCACCACCAGTGGCACCTAAACAGTCATTCATCTAAAGTGCAGAATAGAGGAAAATGCACTTTCTGAACACTGTGTGATTGAATAATTCTGTGCACTTTTCAGTTTCAGACTTTTTTTTTGTAACAGGTGCAGCTGCTGAGAATTATTTTTGTTTCTTAACCGGTTTGGCTAGTGTCATTGTTATGTGTGCAAAGCGTAGCCAAGGAAGGAAAACTTAATTTTAAATTATAAGATTTTTATCAAGCTTGCTTAATATTGTGCACAGCATACAACCTCAAAATATTGTTCTTATTGTTTATTGTATTTATTTATTTATTTTATTTATTAATGAAAATATTTCTGTACAATTTTAGAGTCTTTGTTTTTATCCTTGTGGTATCGAAAATGGTATAATGGTATCGAGTATCGATATTTTCCTTAGTATCGGTATCGAGTTGAAAAGTTTAGTATCGTGACAACCCTAATTAATATATATATATATATATATATATATATATATATATATATATATATATATATATATATATATATATATATATATATATATATGTATATATATGTGTGTGTGTATTAGGGGTGGAACGGTTCACAAAATCCACGGTTCGGTTCGATTCACGGTTTCATGGTCACGGTTTTCGGTTCGGTCCGGTATATGTGGATTTGGTCGCAGTACCGCCACCTTCTGCTCTGGAGTGTAATCGCTTCGCCTATGAGAAAAAGGAGCCGCGCATGAACCGAACGAAACACACGCGAACCGAACCAAGACAGTCGAACCGAACGGTTCGGACGGTTTTCATTAACCGTTCCATCCCTAGTGTGTATATATGTATGTGTATATATGTATATGTGTATACATATATTTCCTTAATTTATTCTTTTCAGGTGTCCATATTTATCAAAGAATGAATGGATGTTTTTGGGATGATGAAACCGAAGACTTTGATGCTTTTAACCAGTATGGTTATGATGGTGAAGATCTCATGCGTTTTGATCTGAATACTTTGACATGGGTCACCCCAAGACATCAGACTGTCATCACCAAACACAACTGGGACACTGACAGTCTGTTTTGGAAGTATGCACTGACAGAAGAATGCAAACGTTTTCTTCAGCTTTATTTGAATTATGGGAGAAATACATTGCAGAAAACAGGTACAGAAACAGCTCGCAATTCTGCTGCTTTGGACAAAAATCTTTGTCTCCCTTACAAGTGATGATCCCCACTTTAAGAAATAAAAGTCCAATTCCAAAAGACTTACCATAGCGTTTTGATTATTTGATTAAATGTATGGAGAAAGTCTTTATTTCTATTTTAATAACAACTGCTTCCACATAAGCTGTTACAGCCATAACTTGTTTAATACATAACCCATACAAAAACAAATTCACATTTCTACCGGTTAATTCTATAAATGAAATGTTAATCTTACAGTATAATATAATATAATAATATAATATACCTGCCTTTAATACGATTTTAAACAAATATTTCTTTGGATTGTGTGTTCAGTTCATCCTTCAGTGTCTCTCCTCCAGAAGATTTCCTCCCCAGTGGTCACATGCCACGCTACTGGTTTCTTTCCTGAAAGAGCCATGTTGTACTGGCGGAAAAATGGAGAGGAGATCCATGAAGGAGTGGAGAACGGAGAGATCCTCCTCAATAATGATGGGACCTTTCAGATAAGTGTGGACCTCAGCGTTTCGTCAATCAATGATCAAGACTGGAACCAATATGATTGCCTTTTTCAGTTCTCTGGTTTAGAGGATAAAGTCACCACCAGACTCGAAAGGGCCGTGATCAAGACAAATCCAGGTTTGATTAAAAGAAGAAAACGCAGATTTGCCTATTTGATTTTACATTGGTTGTTTGTTCTGACTAGCAGCGCTGTTTTTAATCATTTAAGAAGCATATCTAATTATAGATTACTCACAACACAAACCTTCCTTTCTTTGAAGAGATATGTTATATATATATTTTTATTTATTGTTGTTACAGGATCTTCAGTTGGAAAACACTTTGTTTTTACTGCTGGAGTTCTGCTGCTTTTAATGGGCCTTGTCAGTGCAGCTGTTGTGGTCTGGAGAAGAAGGAATAGGAATGGTGAGGAAATCTTTTTTTTTTTTTTTTTTTTTTTTTTTTAATAACAAAAAATCTCAAAGACTGAACCATGTAGGACTGTCCTTCAAATTAATAATAATAATGATAATTTAAAATGTCTTGATTAGGTTTGAAGTTATATTTACATTGAAAATAAAATTTTGTTCCCTAAATCAACCTTAACAGTTTGCACCTAATGTTGCTTTGTATACTTTTCCAGTGTCTAAAATTTACGGTGGCTGACAGGTGCAAACGCACAGTAAACAATGAAACAAGCAGCAAAAGCATGAATGATGCAAAGCCCAAAACATGCAAACACACAAAAAATTGGATCTGAAAAAACAATACTAAGAAATGCAGCAATCTCAAAAAACGGAAGCAAAAACCTCCATTTGGGTCTTTATTACTTCTAGAAACAGTCCAAGAGCCAAGAAAATTATGCAATACAAGACATCCAGCATCTTCCTGGCAATAAGTGGAAATCAGCCGTTTCAAAAACCTTCCAAATATGACATCAGAAATGCTCACACACCGCCCCTGACCTAGCATTCACAGCTGAGCCAAACCCAAAACTAAGCAGCAGCGAAGCACATCCTCTCACATAGCACACCATGCAAATAAAAACTTTAACATACTATTAAAGAAAGATATAACGCATTGCTAATTATTACTGGAATAAACACATACACAACTTAACATTGTCATTGATACATCCTTGAAAGTGTGCATACAATTCAGTTAAACAACCATTCACGCACACACTCACACCTAAGGAGAATTTAGAGACGGCAAATAAACTAACAGCCATGTTTTCAGACTGTGGGAGGAAGCTAGAGTACCCAGAAAGAACCCATGCATGCTCAGGAAGAACATTCTAACTCCATGTAGAAAGAATCACACCCAAAACCTTTTTGCTGAAAGGTAGCAGTGCTACCCACTGCACCACTGAGCAGCCCTAATTAGACTTTCTTTATTACAAATTTTCTTTAAAGCTACAGTGTGTAATTTTCAGCGACATCTAACGTCCAGACTGCAGACCACAGCAACATGAACATCTCCCCCCCACCGCTTCTCCCCCCGAACAGTACGGCGAGCATTACGGGACAAAATGTCTTTCACGACGTCCGCATCACCTACCTTCTCAAGTGATGAGGTTTGTTTACATAGATAATTTTACAGATAGTATTTCATTAGTCTGTGTGTTCAGTACCGTCTCAGTTCATCTCTCTCAACTTGCCGTAGTTACTTTCGAGAGCGATCTCGCAATCGCTAGTTTGTTGGCTCTGCGCTGCCGTAGCGCAAAGATGTCTGCCTCCATGGCTGCGAGACCCGCTCCTATGTAATTATAAATAACGAATTCTAAGGCAACGCAAATATTAAGGTTAAGAGGCTGAGCTCGTAGATGATGATAAATAACATAGTTATTAAATTTCTGACTGTATATCCCTGTAATTATTACACACTGTAGCTTTAAGTCCCAGTTGAGTTGAAAAGGAAGCACTGAGGATGCAGAGTAAGAGCAAGCAGGAGAGAGGAGGTGGAAATCTCTCCCATCAATCATTAAAGGTAACATATGATTTTTTAGGAATCGCGCTGGAAGAACCCCAAACCGAAGCAACGACACAGCCAGAATATCAGGAAAGGAATTATATGTGTTTTACTGAAATAAGGCTATCCCCAACTCCAATGTCTCTCTGCCAGGCTTTCTGACAATAAGCAGACAGGGATATATAGTAAGCTGGAAAACACAAGGGAGGTTGGTTGGGAGAGCTTGTGAACAACACAATTCAATTCAAAATGCTTAATTCAATTTATTGGCATGCAATTATCTCCACTTTCTACTCCTTATATTTTAAAAATAGATTAATTAGTTTTGTTTCATTTAAGGGCTGATTAGTGACGCAGTGGGTAGCACTACTGCCTTGCAGCAAGAAGGTTCTGGGTTCAATTCCCAGCCTGTGGTCTTTCTGCATGGAGTTAGCATGTTCTCCCTGAGCATGCGTGGGTTCTCTCTGGGTACTCAAGCTTCCTCCCACAGTCCAAAAAACATGACTGTTAGGTTAATTGGCTTCTCTACAGTCCCCTTAGGTGTGAGTGTGATTGGTTGTTTGTCTCTGTGCTGCCCTGCAATGGACGATTTGTTTCATCCACACAATTAATTTCTTTTTGGTTGGTTTCTGTGCTGCGCCAACTTGCTGTACGTCACATACAAAAGTAAATCATGGAAATTTAAATTTTATATTGGTACCGTTAGTTATAAAACTAAGAAAATTTAGTATAAGAAATTTATCATCCAGAAAATGTATGATGCCTCCACTTGAGTCTTTAGGGATTTTTCCCAAAGTAAGTCAAGCTTAATCAAGTTAAATGCACTGGAGAAATCAAAGAACATGAACCTCACAATGCAAGTGACATATGCACATCTTCAAACACTGACCTTACCCATTCCATTTCCCCTGACCACAGAAAGTCTAATATCTTTTTAGGAAGGTCTGTATAAACCATGGTCGTACTTCTGGCTCTATTTTTTCACATTTTCAATGACTGTACAAATTTCAGAATGATTAATTCTAATCTGAAGGTCTGACCGTGACTGGCTGGACATGCTCTCTTCATCCTCTGACATGGGAGCCGGCTCGGAGCTCATCTGCCTGGCTGTGTGTTTTCTGGATGGGGCCGCCTTTTATAGTTGCTTTTTCTATCTCTGCTTCTGTCTCCTTGAACCCCAGTTGGCCTCAGCAGATGGCCGCTCACACTGAGCCTGGTTCTGCTGGAGGTTTCTTCCTGTTAAAAGGGAGTTTTTCTTCTCCACTGTCGCTACAAGCATGCTTAGTGTGAGGGATTGTTTTTGAGTGAATCAGTTGATGGAATCAACTGGTTTTCCTTAGATAGAAAACTTTGAATCAATTTGACTGTGATCTGGTTGAACTGTAAAGTGCCTTGAGATGACTTGTGTTGTGAATTGGCGCTATAGAAATAAACTGAATTGAATTGAATTAATCCAACTCCAAAAAGGAATCCAGGCCATTAGTCGGTGGATGTTAAATAATTACTGCCCTCTGGAATTTTAAAACAATCAGTCCCAAGCAATGCTTTGATAGAGAATTATGGAATTCACTGCACTTTTTTAACTAACAAAGTGTTTTGTTATCAAGATTCAGGACAAAAGGACCCAATATTCAAAGATTGATAGATAGTGGGATAATTCAAAGTGTTTATCTTAAAAGCAGCCAGTGGATCCGAGGTATGAGTGGCTAGAGCGTCTTATCACTGGAATCTCTGTTGGAGAAAAACACAGGTTAGCGACCACAATAATCAACAACAATAATCTGACGGGGCAGCACCGCCCAGAGTTTCCCAGATGCTGCAGCCCCAGGGAACATGCAGGAGTCCGAAGACAGGTTAGGGAAACTGATCAGAACAGGAAGGCTCAGAGGTCCAGGAGTCCGAAGCCCAGTCTGGGTTATCAATCAGAACAGAAACAGGCTGGTTCAGGGTTCTAGGAGTCCACAGACAGTTCAGGCAGACCACTCTGATGAGAACAGGCACGCTCAGTGGACAAGAGGCAGATGAGGTCAGGAACAGGATGTCAGAAACACTGTGGTATGATAAAAAAAAAACCCTCACCACTGGCCAGCGAGAATGAGATAATCTGGCTATGATAGCTGGATGCAAGTACCATAAATAAAGGCAGAAGCAGGTGGATCAGATGAGCGGTAATGCGCAAAGATTTAGACAAGTGAATGGAATGAACAATTAACTCAGCCATCAGTGCCAAGATCAGGATACTTGGAGTTCTGGTTCAGATCATTTAATCTTTTTTCTGATGTCTTATCTGATAAAGTTCCTCTAAGAGCTTTTGACGTAGATTTAAAAATTGCTCAGCTGACATAGACAATCATTTTGACTTAACTGTTCATCTTAAATTTACAAGCAGTCAAAGCTCCCTGCTGCATCATCATATTTGCCCCGAATTTAGTATGCTTCTTAATGGACTACTGTTTAATGCATTGCTTATACAGTATGACAACATAATTTAGCCCCACCCACACAGAAAAGGAATTAAGCACAAGTTTGTTCAAGAAGGTCAGATCTGACCCAGATTTTGGAGATTTTTATTGGGGCATGGATCAGTCTGATCAAAGGTAAGGTTGAGGCCTCTAAGAGCATACTGTTATGAAGCTCCCACAGTCACTTTAAGCTAAGAGGGCCGTCCAATGTTGCTTACTTTACTCGTTTCTCAGAACAACCTATGCAGCTAATGCTATACTTTTTCTCTTTTGTTTTATAGGCTTGTGATTTGAGGTTGACCTAGTGCAACAGAACTGATCACCAAGGAGATTGATCCTGCTAAAAAATGGACTATACAGTCTGTTTAAATAAGACATATTATAATAAAGAAATTAATGAATATGGAAGTGTTTTGGACATTATTTTGAGATTTTTACAAATTCAATGATCACTGGAATGGAAATGTAAAAGAAAAATAACAATACAAGTTGTTTAAAGATTTTTTCTTTTCTTTTCTTTTATTTCACTCCTATGGGGATCTTTAAATATTATGTTTAGTCTGCTTTTTGAGTTTTAAATTTTTGCATGAAGTATTCCCTTGTTTTGATTAAATTCTTCATTATTTTTGCTATTTGTGTCCTGTGGTATTTTCCCATGTTCATATTTGTGATTTTTCATGCTCTCTAGGTTTTTTCCATTAGTCCTTTTAATCATCTTTTTTTAGTTTAGTTTTGTTATTGCCAAGTGTTTTGGAGGACCAGTTCTATATTATTTAAAAATAACTTAATAAATAA